TCTCACTCTCTTTCTCTCTCTCTCTCTCTCTCTCTCTCTCTCTTTCTCTCTTTCTCTCTCTCTCTCTCTCTCTGTGTGTGTGTGTGTGTGTGTATGTATATTTATGTGTATGGGTTCTATGATCGATCAGCATTTCAACGATGGCAGATGACGAATAGCACACGGGTTAATTGCTTCAAACGTTTCACCAGTCGTTAACTCTATTTTCTCGAATCAATGCGTAAATGTTCAAACATATCGAAATCATCGTTGCGAAACTACGACGATGTTATATACGTTAACGCATAATCGAATTCAATTTCAGGTTGCGCATCGAGATTGAATCAATCGAACGACCGACCGATCGATATTTCCTCGAAAGTTCATCGAAAGTCGATCGATCGATCGATCGTAACTTTCATCGTTCGATTGATCTATTCAAAAAAAAAAAAAAGAAATAATAATATCGATTACACATCGATAGTACGATAGTTTGTCCCATCCGAGAGTCGACATTGGTTTCGTATCGAGAACGATGATCTTTTATTTCTTTTTTTTTTTTTTTATTTTCTTTTATTTTTTTTCTTTTTTCTTCTTTTTCTTTTTTTTTTTTTCTTTTTTCTTTCTTGTTTTTGTTCAATTTTAATCTTCTCCTCCAACAATTTGAGATTTCCTCGAGGAATAAGTCTCGCGAATAATTTCTTTTTAATTTTCTTTTTTTTCTTTTCTCTCTCTCTCTCTCTCTCTCTCTCTCTCTCTTTTTGGCTTCTCTTTTAATCTTCTTTTCTTTCTTTTGTTTTTCTTTTTTTCTACGTCGTTCGATTTTTTGTCTTCTTCTTCTGTTTCTTCTTCTTCTTCTTCTTCCTCTTTTGTTAGAATAAAATAATTTGATCTTTCTTCTTTCTCACTCCTTTTTCTATTTCTTTTTTTCTTTTTAATTATCAGTGAGAAAAAAAAAGAAGAAAAAAAAGAAAAAATATCGGTCGTTCGATATTTTCTTTCTTTTCTTTCTTTCTTTTTTTTTTTTTCTTCCTCCATTAGGAGAAATCATATTTGACCTTTCCGTTTGTTTTTCCCTCTTTTCCTTTTTTTCTTTTTTTCATTCCTCCACCCCCTACCCCCCGCCCACTCCACACCCGCCAATTTTTCGTTGATCTATTTGAATTTAAATTCGGTGCTTTTTTTCTTTTCTTTTTTCTTTTTTTTTTCTCTCAGAAAAAATTTAAGTGGACTGATTTATAGAGAAAAAAGAAAAAGAAAAAGAAAAAGAAAAAAGAAAAAGAAAAAGGAAGACGAAATTATATAAAAATATTCGAAAATTGTACTTTCTCATTATTTCTTTTCTCTTCTTCCTTTTCTTTCTCTTTTTAATTGGCAACGAGAGAGACAAAAAACTTTTGCACACATTTACATACGTGCTATCAATCTCTGTGCTCGGTACCCTCCTCCTCCTCCTCTACCACCACCACCACCACCTCCTCCTTCTCCTCCTCCTCCTCTTCATACTCTCACCATAACAATTTATTCAAGGGAAGTAAATTTTCAATAAAATTGTAATAAATCTTTCGAAGGTATTAACGCGTTTATTATATTATATTAACGAAGAATATTATTACGAAATAACGACGAGCTCTCGTTGTAATATTTCAAATGTTAATTTATCGTAGAAATTTATTTATTTATTTATTTATTTATTTATTTATTTATTTATTTATTTATTTATTTATTTATTTATATTTATTTGTCTTTTTCTTTTTTCTTTTTTTTTTTCTTTAGCAATAACTTTTCATTAAAATTTTATCAAAAGATAAGGAATCATTTGTGACTTTTCATTTATTTTAATAATCCAGTTAGAGTGACGATAATCAAGTATTGTTTTTACATCATTAACAATCGAAAGACACATGTGTACCATTTTATACATAAAAAATATATATATAACACGGTTATTAATATTCCCCGTGGCAAACATGTCCCTCTCTCTCTCTCTCTCTCTCTCTCTCCCTCTCTTTCTCTTTATTTCTATTTCTTTCTCTTCCTTTCTCTCTTGCCAATTTAAAATACAAATGCGAAAACACCCCTCGAGGTAAGTGACAGAGAGAGAGAGAGAGAGAGAGAGAGAAAGAGAAAAAGAGAAAGAGAGAGAGAGAGGGAGAGAAAGAGAGAAAGAGAGAGAGAGAGGGACAAAGAGAGGGAGAAAGCCTTGTATACTTTTTGTCCCTTTCTCCCTTTTCTTTTATAAATGTATATATATATATATATATATATATATATATATATATATATATATATATATTTATTTCTTTTCTTTTTTCCTTTCGCGACAATGACACGACGCCAGTGTTGCAAAAGGAATGAATTTATGGGGGGATAAAAGAAGAAAAAGAAGGAGGAAAGAAAAAAGGTCAGGTTTTTCTAACATTTGTTTTTCCCCTTTCTCTTTCTTCTTCTTCTTCTTCTTCTTCTTCTTTTTTTCTTTCTTTCTTTCTTTTTTTTTTTTTTTTTTTCTTTCTTTTTACATTAAAGTCACTCGCGACACACTTTTGATTTAAAAAGCATTCCTGTCGTTAAAATAATATTATCATTCATTCGGCAAAAGAAACCAATTTCTTTGATAATTATTATATAAGAGTACATTTTATTTCAAAAGGGATTGGTATTTTATTTACCCGAAGATAGAACGTAACAAAGAGGAAGAAAGAAAGAAAGAAAGAAAGAAAGAAAGAAAGAGAGGAAGAAAAAGAGGGTGGGGGGGAAAAAAAAAAGAAAAGAAAAGAAAAGAAAAAAGAACCATTCATTTCCTTTACTTATATCATAAATTATATCATAATTTCATAATTATTAATAATATCGAAACGAATGAATGAATAAATTAAATAAAGAAATGGAAAGGGTTAAATGAAAAAAAAAAATAAAAAAATAAAAAAAAAGAAAGAAAAAAAGAAAATATAATAATCATAATAATAAGTAAATTAAATGAATAATAATAATTAATAATAATACTTAATAATAATAATAATAATAATAATAATAATAATAATAATAATAATAATAATAATAATAATAAAAGAAAAAGGAGAAGAAGAAGGGAAAAGAAATAAAATAAATAAATCCCTCGTAAAAATGAAAACGTTAGAAGAAAAAGCTTGTTATATTATATTATGGTGATTCGGTGAAAAGCAATGGTGTAACACGTAAACACCGTGATACTTGTAAAATGCAGAACGTCGTAGGAGTTTTCTAAAGGGAGAGGAATTCAAAAAGAAAAGAGTAGGTTCGTGAAATAGATTGGAATGGTGGAGAGAAGAAAGGGGTAGTTATTATAAAAAAGAGAAACAAACTCGTCGTCTTTGTCGTCGTCTTTGTCGTCGTCTTTGTCGTCATTGTCGTCATCGTCGTAGCCATAGCAATACCATATGTTACGTGTAAATCCACAAATCAGGGATCACGGATCACGTAGCGCGGATCACGCAATACTAGTTACCCTAACAGAAACAAAGAAAAAGAGAGAAAGAGAAAGAAAAAGAGAGAAAGAGAAAGAGAAAGAGAAAGAGAGAGAGAGAGAGAGAGAGATTACAAAACATAAAAAAAAATGTCGAGGCTAGCCGTTCCATTCTGCATAATGAGTTATGCGCATACTTAATTCAAAAATTCTCCCTCTTCGCTTTTCTACGTGCACGTAAAAAAAACACGTATAAATATGTACATACATGTATGAGTATATATGTGCATATATATATATGTGTGTGTGTGTGTGTGTGTGTGTGTGTGTTTGTATGTATGCGTGTGTGTGTGTGTGTGTGAGCCGTTCGTGCTTTTGCGCGTTACTAACGTCATTCGTATTTACATGTTGACTTATTAATTCTCACGCGATCTTTTGAATCCACGTGGTATCTTAGAATATTTAAAGATAACACGTAAGTGTATGTATATAACTCTCTCTCTCTCTCTCTCTTTCTCTCTCTCTTTCTCTCTCTTTTTCTCTTTTTCTTCCTCTTTGTGTGTGTATATGTGTGTACGTTACGAATGTTAGCGTACGTATGTGCATTTGCGGACTTAGAGAACTCGTCTAGAGTTCCCGTTTAAATCCGATTGGTATTATTTACGACGAATGACCTTCATAGATGTGTTAGTTTGCTTTAGAGAACACGGAAAACTTCAATGTTTAATGATACTTTATTATTCGCACTCATCATACACTCACACACAATCATATATACTCTGTATCTTTCTCTCCATATATATGTGCGTATGTATATATATATATATATATATATATATATATATATATATTATTATTATTATTATTATTATTATTATTATTATTATTATTATTAGTTTTATTATTATTATTATTACAATTAGTAATACTATTATATATTATTATTATCATCATCATCATTATTATTATTATTATTATTATTATCATTATTATTATTATTATTTTTATTATTAATACTATAATAATAATTATTATTATTATGAATAATATTAATTATTCATTATTCGTAATTCATTAATTATTCATCTTGTAAATAATCTCATTTCCTATTCATATCGTTTCAAGTAATTACCTAGTACGTGTATTTTTTCATTCTCGCATTCCCCCTCCCTCTCCCTCTCCCTCTCTCTCCTCTCTCTCCTCTCTCTCTCTCTCTCTCTCTCCCACTCTCGCTCTTCTCTATAATTTTTGTTATTAAAAAAAAAAAAAAGAATAAATAAATAAATATTTAAATAAATAAATAAATAAAACAAGATAGATAAAAAGAGGATAAACGAGGATTTTATTATTACACTTGTACGAGATACTATTCTCAAGAGGGAGAGAGAGAGAGAGAGAGAGAGAGAAATAGATAGAAAGAAGGAAAGAGAGAGAGAGAGAAAGAGATAGAGAGAAAGAGAAAGAGAATTGGTTCTTACTTTCTTATTTCTTTTATTTTTTTTTTTTTTTTTCCTTTTTTCTTTTTGTTTTTATTTTTCTTTTTTTTTTATTTTTCTTAGAGATTTACGAATTTGCCAAC